TAACGGGGTCAATCAATCGTCATTTTGTAGAGCGTTTTTTTTACTGCATCTTTTCTTCATAGAGACAAATTTACAACCACTTGTTTTACTATAGAAAAATTTATTATTCAGATCGAGTCAGGACTTCTGGCCCACCCTTTATGCCCAATGATGTGCAGACGAAAACACATTTTTTCTTCGTCCTGTCCATCAATTTAAAGAAAAATTGAATAAAACAAGTAGACGCATCTTTCAATTCAATGGAGATGATTTTTCTCACCTAGTCTGCGACAATCAAATGAACCCACTTAACTCTTTTCGATTTCCGAGTATAGCACGGCTTCCCTTCCACCTGCCTACGCGGGTTTTGTTTTGAAAATACCAGTACCTAGTGATAAATATCAAGCTTAAAATTGTCAAAAATTTAAAACCTCATAACGATTAAAAATGAAGTATGAGTAGTTTTTATACTAGAAAATCACTGTGGATGAACCTGTAAAGCTGCGGCTCACAACATTTTGTCCTTCCTGAGAAAAGTGAATTTTTTTATTATCGCTTGGATTAACAGAATTTACTGAGGTAGTCAAAAGGTTTTGAAATGGTCGTTGAAAAATCCATTTACATAACAAAAGTTTGACAAGCAATATATTTCCTTTTCCATCTAAGAACATAGCTCAAAATATCTTCTAAAAGATGATAGTTGTCTGCAGAGTGTGCAAATTGCACACTCTTCATTAGTTATGGTTTTGATGTGGTAGCGGATTTATTGAGACCTTTACGACACGATCAGTGGGAGCCTCAAAAACAGTTGTGACGCGCCGAGTCCCGAGACCATGTTTGTTTTAATTAAAATTCCTATAACTACAGTAGAATCAACTGCAGGAGAAATAGCTTACTGCAAGCTAATTTTTATGCAGAATTAATTCGCAGCTCAGTCAAAACCAGTTCAAAACACTATAGAACTGCAAGATACATTGTATTTCAGTTGCTTCGCATCACCATGTAATAAAAAGTGCGTATAGAATCTATCTCTGCTTCTACAGTTTGCTCACATATTTCAGTTTTCTTTGAATTTATTATTTGAATCAGCTCGAAAATTCACGGTTTACAAATTCCTGAATAGTCTGCTTTGAAAAGCAAAATGATTTGGGTGGTCAGTGGAATTATACGTGGCGAACGGGATTTGATGAATATTCTGAACCCGTTCATAGTAGTATGTATAAAAATTTATGGACAAATCTCATACGGGCTACTTCTTACTGCTAAAAACCATTTGCATGTTTGATCTTCATTTGGAATACAGCTTCCATTTTTATTCTTACACTATGCAGTTCCACAAACGGAAAGTGTGTAAACTTGCATATTTTAAATAAATAAGGGGATAAAAAAGTTTAATGAAGTTTAAACAAGTTGCTGTTGTGGTCATTTTGTACTTAAATTTTGGGTTTTAAAAAACGTTGGCGTTGTTGTGTTCGTTCTCTTGTTGTTGTTATGGTCCTTGTTTGACTTGTCAGTGGAAGTGATTAAGATGTTGATTGTGTAGTAATTGATGCCGTTGGTATTAGAGGTACATCGTGTGGTGATGGTGACCTCAATCTTTGACCACGTCCTTGAAATATCGGAGATTGATTATCATTGTCTGTATCTAGTTGTTATCTAGTAGGAGCTGGAAGTGCTGCTGGTGCCACCATTGTTAAGGAATTAAGTTGTTCGACTGGATTAAATAGTGATGGTGTTTCACGGAGAATTCTATCAGCTTCACCTATTTCGATTGGTTCATGTTCACCTAGCCAATTTTCACCATCATTTTGATCCTTTGCTTGATGAGATTGACTATCTCCTTGTGTGAGTTGCCATTGTGATTGTTGTTGCAACGTTGATGTGATTTGCTGTTGATGATGAAAATACTTAGTCGGGTCCGTTAATGGCATATGTTGAGTGAGTTTTACCATAGCAGATCTACAAATATAGAAAAAGAAAAGCAAATTAATAGAAATCTAATATTATTTATTTTGTTAGTAATGTATTCTTCGGAAAAGAATGCAGAAAGAAGCAATCTTCTAATTTAAACAAATTTAAAAGAATGGAAACGCCATCAAAATGGAAGGCTAACAGGATTTTTCAAAAAGCAGGCACAATAGCCCTGGAACTAAAGTGGTCTATAAGATAGAATGGGGTAAATCTGAAGAATCAAAGACAGCTTTTGCTTACTTTTTCCTTTGTCGCTATATGATCATAAATTCTCTTTGCTGACTTTGTTAGCCCCGTAAATCTGTCGAATTGTTGCTGGAACCTGTGGACTGTTTATAGTTTCACCGGCTATTTTATCTGACCTTGTCGAAGCAAATTGAAGATAAAAACGTTGAAGTAAAGTTTTTCGTCGTTTCTAAAATGGAATTTTCGTTGTTATCCGCCGTGATGGAGTCATGGCAAATGCATAAACAAGTGCTCTTTTCTGAAACTGATTTTTGTATAAATGTAAATATTTGAGATGTTTTCGTATCGAAAAGAGAGCAACAGTCAACCTGTTTTCTCTTTGATCTTGTATATATATGAGTCAATTGCAACTTTTTTGTACAATGACATTTTTGAAGTATTTTTGCTACTAACACCGTTGTTGTGAATGGATTTTCAAAGTTTTTTTTTATTCTCTATCTCAGACCCTAGCCACA